TGGTAATAAAAATATTTAATAACATTTATAGCTGAAACTAGACCATCTGGGACTTTCCCTCAACCAATGGCAAATAATAGATATTACTAAAAAAAAAATCCCAACAACCTCTTTGAAAACATAAATAATAACCAATAGTGTTGCCTACATTTTTCTACCTAGACGCTTTTATTACATGGAGACACACCCCAAGTGAACATTCTTAGAATCCACAGTAATTATTATTGATTTTTAAAAAACCTTCCATGACCAAGAAAAGAGTCCATGTAATTCAATTATCAACCAAAAAAAACAACTTTTCTTCTATATTAAAATGCACTGGACATGCACAGTGCTATTTATTATCTTGRAAGTAGCTCTGTCTGAACTAGGAATCAAAAGCTTTGGGTTCTAATCTTCAAAAGGCATTATATTCAAAGGTATTCAAAAAATACTCAAGCCCTTCTGATATGCTCTATAACTGCTCAGAGACATGACAAAAAAATTTCTGGCTTGGTAACCAATACTTTTATTTAAATGCTTCTGAATTAGTTTGCTAAGTTTGCTATAACAAAGTACCACACAGTAGGTGACTTGTACTTTTAGAGGTTACAGGTTTGAACTCAGGGTATCAGCATGGTTGGTTCAATCTCAAAACATCAAGGGAGGGAACTGTCACAAGCATCTCTCCTTAGTTTATAGATGTCCATCTCCTTGCTATATCTCTTCACACTGTCTTTCCTCTAGGTCTCTTATAAGGATATTAATCATATTAGACTAGGGACCCACTCTCCTTCAGTATAAACCCATCTTAACTATTACATCTGCTATGACTGCTTTTCTAAATAACAGTATAGGCTGAGGAACTGAGGATTAGGATTTCAACATCTGATTTTGGGGAGAGGGGATACCTGCCTCAGCTTTTAACAGCTCCCATTTCTCATTTATAAAGCCAGGACATTTTTTTTATCCATTCATCTATTAAAGGGCATCTAAGTTGGTTCCACAGTTTAGCTATTGTGAATTGTGTTTCTATAAATATTGATGTGGCTGTGTCCCTGTAGCATGCTGTTTTTAAGTCCTTTGGGATAAAAAAAAAAGTGGCATATATACACAATGGAGTATTACTCAGTAATAAAAGAGAATAAAATCATGGCATTTGCAGGTAAATGGATGGAGTTTGAGAAGATAATGCTAAGTGAAGTTAGCCAATCCCCCAAAAACCAAATGCTGAATGTTTTCTTTGATATAAGGAGGTTCATTCATTGTCGGGTTGGGAGGGGGAGCATGGGAGGAATACACGAACTCTAGATAGGGCAGAGGGGTTGGAGGAAAAGAAAGGGGGCATGGGGTTATTAATGATGGTGGAATGTGATGATCATTATTATCCAAAGTACAGGTATGAAGACATGAATTGGTGTGAATATACTGTGTATACAGAGATATGAAAAATTGTGCTCTATATGTGTAATAAAAATTGTAATGCATTCCACTGTCATATATAAATAAAAAGAAAAAAATAAAAATAAATAAAGCCAGGACAAAGGCATCTTTTAAGGTAGCTTGCTTCCTTTGCTTTTAGAAAACATTTACATTTACCCTTCTAGGCAATAGGTATTCCACATTGAGTTAAGTGCTTTCAGGATCACGCAGCCTACTCAGGCGTCACTAATCTTTTGATTCTCAGAGCAAAACATAGTATTAGGCTTATAGTATCTGATGATTAGCAAAAAAAAAAAAAAAGAAGAAGAAGGAGGAGGAAGAGAAGAAGAAAGAAGAAGTAGGAGGAGGGGTGAGAAAGAGGAAGAGAAGGAGAAGGAGGAGGGAGAGGAGGTGGAGGAGGAGGAGGAAGGGGAGAAGAAGAAAGAAGAAGAAGAAAGAAAAGTGCCTTTCCCATAACATGATGTTGCCTCAACTTCCTACATGATGCAATCTGCTAACTCCTCTCCACTTGTGAGGGTGAGAGAGAACAGACAACACAAATACCACCCCCGCCAACTGCTGCAAATCTCAAATCGACCCCACTGAAATGGACCCGTATGTAGCAGAGTGAGAGTAGATGTGTACAGTCCACTTACCTTTCAAGGGATAAACTTGTGTCATTGTGAAATAACTTCAGATTTGATGTTCCTAAGTTAAAGGCTCAACCTCAGAGGCAGGAAAACAGGTGAGCACCTTCATTTAGGACTTTAATGGGCTACAGAGAAATCCCTGTGCCCATGTTGCCTCCCTCTGGGACAATGCCAAGCAACTTAGCCGTCATTCTTTTTATTAACATTGTTTTTGTTTTTAGTTGTAGATGGACATAATACTTTTCTTTTGTTTATTTATTTTTATGTGGTGCTGAGGACTGAACCCAGTGCCTCACACTTKCGAGGCAAGTGCTCTGTGGCAGAGCCACAACCCCAGCCCCAGCAATCATTGTTGTTACATATCTGGGACACCAAAGACTGAGAAAAATAACCCCATCTACTATTTAATGACCCCTTTCTGGGTAGTGAACACTGGAAATGAATTGCCTTATTTAATCCTTCCAATAACTCTGTGGTATAGGCACTGGTGTTATTCCCAACTTACCGACAAGGAAATTAGAAGAGTTAAGCAACCTGTTCAACTTCCCAATGCCTGAAGGATTAGTGCTATATCTAACCCATTTGGTTTTGGGTAAGTCACAACCCCTCAGAACTTCTGATAGTGATGTCAGTTGGATATAAAGGTACCTGTCTTGCAAGTATGTCAAGCAGATTGGATAAAATACACACAAGGTGCTCATAGAGTGTGGACATTGCACCAATATAGTCATAGGCAAGCTATTTTAGCATCCTTTTCCTGTTGTTCTTATTTACTGTATGAACATTTGTGGGAGAAGAACATGTTTCCTAACAATTCAATAAGTATGAAAGGAGGACACAAGGAGAGTTCTGAGAGGCCTTGAGGTTAGGGTTGCAATAAGGGTCACCCAAGGAGGCTTTTTCACAGTTTGGTCCATGTCTTTTCAGCCAATGCAGGTCAGGCTATTAACCATGCCAAAAAAATGGGACAATGGAAAGCTTCACTGGACTCATAAAGGATGATACATCTGAACACCTTTGAGATTCTCAAGGGAGCTCCCTTCTGTGACAATACCCTAGCCATTCATTGCATGGGGCCAGTTAGTGCCAACGCCAGCATTTTACACATGTCACTGCATCTCATCCTCACAGCAACTGGAAAGCATACAGGACATTCCACCTATGTTTAGGATACAAACCTAAGTGGGCTTGACTCATGAGCCCATTATATTAAAATAGCATGCTTATTAGGAAAAGTCTATTTGCAAAGAAAAACATCRATTTAATATGTACTGTAGGCAAAGAGAAATTTTATCATGAAAATACCATTTAATAGGCTCTGAGTAAGCAGCGAGAAGTAGAATGTAGAAAGATGTTAATCTATCAATCAATCATCTATCTAAACTATCCACCTCTCTCCATCTTTTGCCTTAGTCCTCTCCTCCTCTTCCTAGAACACCTCTCTATACTTCCTTAGCCCTCTTGTAGGATGGGCCTCTTCATTTTTCTGAAGTTGTCTGTTCCTGGTCCAACCTCTCATGAAAACTTCTTTTCAAGTTCCCAGGAGAAGAATCTTCTTAGTCCAGCTTGAGTCAGGTGTTTTCCAATGTTCGTCTGAGCTGAGAATCAGGAAAAACAGGGCAAGCAGGGGGCATCCTGGGATTGTCAAGTCAGAGAAGAAGGGAATTGATGCTCAGGGGTAAAGATAAGTAGGAAAGTTATCCTCGATAGTAAACTGCTTTCTTATTAGTCATTAAAGCTTTTTTTTTTTAATTTTAGAAAATCCAAATCAAAAATGGCTTATATTACCAGGAGCATGAATTGGAAAGTGTGTAATGCTGATGTCTGGCAGCTAAAGACACTGAGTTAGGCAGAAAAATTAATAAACCTAGAATGTGGAGTAGCAAATTAAGGTAAAATATACCAGACCAGTCTMGTAATAGAAGCTTTAAATGTTTTCTAAATTCTATAGAAATGCTAATAGAAGTAAAATGCAAACCATATAGGTAATTTTAAACATTCTATTAGTCACATGTTTTTCAAAGAGAAAAGCAAAAAGTAAAATTAATTTTTACAAATTTTATTTCATCCTAAATGTCAAAAAATTATCATTGCAACAAATAAGTATTAAAAATTATAAGACATTTTACATGTTTTGTACTAAGTTTTTAAAATCCAATGTGTATTTTATATCTCAGATTGGATGCCATATTTTTATTGGAAATATCTAATGTAATCTGTATTTAAACTTTCTGAATTTTACAGTAGAAAAAGTGGATCCACAATCACATTCCATTATTTCACATTATTACCTTTTATTAGTTATGAGGGATGAACTAATTTCAGTTATTTCTCACTGAGCTAGTCTATGGCCCAAAGTGTTCCTCCTGTGTGGACATAATCATGGGTAAAAATGACTTGCCTGGCATTGCAGGTCCCACAAAAGAAAAAAGAAAAAGAAAAGGCTGGAAACTGGGAAATACAGTTGTTTACATCATTGCTTAGTCTATGTGACAATAAATACAATTTTTTTTTCATAGATTGAAAGGATAATGTTAAGGTTTTTTTTTTTTTTTTTAGGGTATTGTTTTTACTTTTTCTTTTTTTTTCCTTTTTTGCCTAGAAAAAATCAAGTTTCCTCAGGACTCTTTCTTTGATCCCTGAAATTCTATAATGGGGTATGGGGTGGGGGAATGGTACAAATTAGTGGTGAGAAAAAAAAAGTGTAAGCAGCTGGCCTGCTAAAGTTTGTCCCCTCCTGGTCTGGTGGACAGCAGGTTTTAGGAGACAGCCGCTCATGCTGAGAGCACCTGGGCAAGATTCTCAAACCGAATGAAATTTGAAATGATCATGAACTTCTGGTAGAAGCCAGGGTCGGTGTCCTGGAGTAAAATTATGTAAAGACAACACAAGCCTGACAACCTCTAGATTGGCAGCGCCAGACAAGGATCCAGCCCTCAGGCTCAGCCCTCACGCTTTTCTCTCCTTGGTATATTTAAGCTTGGCTGGGCCTCCACTTCTCTTCTTCTTTTTATTAGTATTTTTGCTGGGGGAAGGAAGAGACAGCTCCAGCTCCCTTTTCTTGGCATCCCAGTCTGGGTCCCGCTCATCCAGGTGCAGCCCGTTCTGCTCAGCTGCTCTGCGATGGTCCCTGCACTCAGGCTCCGCCCTAGACAAAGACAGACAGGCCTGAGCATGGGGCAGGGAGCCAGGGACCAAGCTCTCTCTTCCTGCTCTACACACAGCCTGGAAGGAGGCCTAGTTTGCTGGGTTCCAAGTGCACACTTAGAGATGTCTCAGAAGCCAAAGAAACTACTTGGAGGTGGAGGAAAATGATGTGTCAGAGTAAGATGTTGATGATACATAGACTCAAAGAAGGAACTGCTAAATCTTATTTTGCTTACACAGCAAGAGGCCTGTTACTGAAGAGGCTATTTTCTTTTTATTTGCTGTTAATTGTATTTTTTCCTAATTATTAAAGCAATGCATGTTCATTATTTAAAATTTAAACAATGTGAGGCCCTGGGATCAATCCCTAGTACTGAGGGGGGAAAAAAAAAACTCTCAAGTCAGAGCACAGGGAAACTTCCTGTCCCCCCAACCCCCTAATCTACCATCAGCAAGCTGGAAGTGACCTTTTAATCTTCAGACTATTTAGCATCCCTCCTCTTGTCACTTTCTCTTGTTCAGTGTTATTTATATAAATAAGTTGTTAAACAAGTTATTTTCTCTCCCAGTCAAAAGGAACATTTGTTATTGTTGTTGTTGTTGTTGTTGTTGTTGTTGTTGTTTTGGTATAGGGATTGAACCCAGGGGCACTTTACCACTGAGACACATCCCCAGAGCTTTTAAATATTTTATTTAGAGACAGGATCGCTGAGTTGCTTAGGGCCTCACTAAGTTGCTGAAACTGGCTTTGAACTTTTGGTCTTACCTGCCTTAGCCTTCCAAACTGCTGTGATTACAGGTGTGCACCATCACACCTGGCCAGAAAGGAAACCTCTTGATGTCTAGTCCTATGTCTGATTTATCTTTATGTCCTTTTTAGTGTCTAATTTAATGACATACACATAGTAGGGTTCACTTCTACCTGTTGAATAAGTGATTTGCTACTTAGAAAGCCTGAATCAAAAGTTCAAGTTTTCCTCAATGATCCCTAGGATGTTCAGAAAATTATCAAATATCTTAAAAATATCTTATATCCTTCTTCTGCATCCTCCTAGCCCAGGAGCTCACCTACTCACAACATGAACTGCTAAGAAATCCTTAAGTGGTCTCCTCACTTAGAGTCTAAATGCCTCCAAGTCTACYTACATAGCACCACCGTCACCTCCTCCAATGCATAAGCAACTTTATTAAAGCATCTCTTTCTGCTTGTCAATCCCCTGAGTTCACATTTATCACTTGCCTGGCTGACTATGGCCACCCACTGACCTACTCATGCACATTTATCCTCCACATCTCCCTCAGATGGATACTCTACTTTGCCAGGCATTCATCCTGCCACTGCCCTCTACCTCTTCACATATGCGCACAACCTATGCACAAATCCAACTTGGTGGCTTCATTCCAAATCAACAGATTTTTCTCCCTCCTCCATTTGCAGGTCTTAGCTATCTTTCCAGATCCAAATTAACTTCCTCTTAACCCAGGATTCTGTCTCTAGTCTCTCTGTCAGAGGGAAGTTTTCAGTGCAATAGGATGACTCACGCACCTTGTGTTTGATGTTATTGTTTCTGCCTGCACAGTTTTCCTGGCAATAACACTCCCCACTATTTGAGGAGAGCCACTGTTCCTCCATCTCAGTTATACTTGGGCCATGTGTCACATTCATCCACCTTTTGGCCACTAAGGAGGGGCTGAGATTACTCAGAGAATGTCAGTGCAGCAGAGCCAAAGGCAGGACCCAGAGGAATTTCAGCATCTTAAAGGCATGTAAGAATAAACCATTTAATTTTTCTTTTAAAAAATTATATGCATATCATGAGAAATAATCAGAGAAGGGGAGGGGAAGCTAGGAGAGAGTAGCATCAGATTAAGTAAGGGAGAAGAGTTTCTGAAATATAATAAATGGGAATTAAGTAGAGGTAAGATGTRAACTAAGAATAAGCCATTGGCTTAGCAAACAAGAACTTCATAAGAACTTGGGTGAGAGCTGACTCCGTAAACAGATGGGGCAGGAGGAAGTCTGGGTGAGGAAGTAGAAATAATTATGTAAGTTAATTTTCAAGTAGCTTTGAAGTGTAGGGAAGAAAGGAACAGAAGTGGGGTTCTGCTTTTTGCTTAATAAGGTCTATTTGAACATGTTCACAGACTAAAAAGAAATGAAAGGAAGGAACATAAAAAATGCAGGAGATAGAGTAAAAATGCAACAAAGAATACAGGAGCAATAGCCTTGTACAAGAGACATGAAGAATCTACATGGAGGGGTAACCCTTTTTACAGAAGAAGGAATGGGAGGCAAGAAGGAACTGATATAAGTATATGGAAGATCTGCAGGGATACACTATTCTAATCAGCTAAAAGAAATGTAAGTTAGGGTTCTTCATTCTCCTGCAAATCTTAGCAAATAATCAAAACCTAGAGCTCCCACTACAGAATATGTCCATAGACACATATATTTTTTCCAACTCCATACCAACATATATATGTGTGTATATATACATATATATATATATATATATACAAACACATGTATATATCACACATATATGTATACATACATGTGTATACATACATATACACATGTGTGTATATATGTACATAGGTGTATATATGTATGTGTGTGTGGATGTATACATACATATATATGTAGATACAGGGGTTGGAAAACATGTACCCCAAAGTTTCAAGAAGACATACCCTCTGAGAGAGTGTAATGGGGACTTGAATTGACAGTGAGGAAGTAGGACAGGAAGAGAGAGCCAAGCCGAGAAAAAAATCTTTCTGATGATGCTCATTTACTTCTTGCTGGGATTTTTTTTTTTTCTCTAGTCAACCAAGCCTAGGAGTAGAGAGCACAGAAGTTTCCCCGAGATTGGCAATTCTGGATTGTATGGTACAGAATGAATGAAAAAGGGGTGGGAAAGTTATGAAGAGTGTACGAGAAGAAAGTAGAAGTACTGTCCTGGCAGCAGAGTGAGATTGGTGACATTTTCAGGCACWTGATAGATTGGGAATGAAAAATGTTGAATGACAGAGTCTTGACAATTCAAAGACCTAAGGCTGTAGGAACTGATAAGATGAAGAGAGCTGTGATCTCACATACAGTGCATGGAGTTTACCGAGGACAAGGGGCAATGGAAAAAACTGGGGAAAAGATAGAGATATTCAAACAAAGATTCAGGTTCTGTCTCTCTGCTCTTCAAATCACCTAATTTGTGACTTCGGATATTTTAAATGGGCGACACCATCTTTAAGAGAGAGTCTTTTGTGCTGGATTTGGTGGTACATGCCTATAATCCCAGCTGAGGCAGGAGGATCACAAGTTAAGGCTGCCTGAGCAACTTAGTGAGGGCCCTCAGCAACTGAGTGGGACCCTGTCTCACACTTAAAAACAAACAAACAAACAAAAAACTAAGGATATCTATCTCAGTGGTAAAAAGCCCCTGTGTTCAATCCTCACTTCCCCTAGGAGTCTCTTAGGTTACTTCTTCACATTACTAATCTCACTATAGGAAAAGACTTTCCTAGTTTAACTTTCTTACAACTATATTTGCCAGCTCTTAGGAGACATCTCACTGCCTCCCTCCTCTTCTATCATGCACAGCCCAGTAGATTTGATATCTACCTTGTCTTCATTTCCAAGAAATAATGGCCAGATACTATTATTCAACTATTTCTTATATGAGTTACTTGTTGATCCAACAAAACTAGAAATGTCTAAATTTTATTTCCATCCCTCTCTGAGCTCTACTGCTATGCACATAATTGGTATTAAACTATGTTCAATGTCTTGACTGAGTAAAAAAAAATGAACAAAATGTTAGATAAATTCTTATTTGGGTATATGTGTTGGTAGGGGATTCACAGATGAACATAGATGCTTGAAAAAGTAAAAGGGTCTGAAAAAAATCAAATTCTAATTCATCTGCCTCATTTTAAATATTAGGTAATGGAGGGTCAGGAAGGTGACAACCTGTACARGGTCACACAGCTTGAATACCTTTTAGAAAGCCACAGGGGCCCATGAATCTGGGATCATCGCCTTTCTTCAAACTGTGTCCCAATTCTCTGAKCAGAGACAATTTTTGTATCATCTAAAACAACAGATCAATGTATTTTTTACCTGAGGCCAGTCATTTCTGTGAAAATAACTCAATTTAAAAATTAATGAAAACAATAGTCAGTTGACTGGATTTTCTCATTTCTTTTTCATTGACTTGAGCCCACTGAGTGGGCAAAGACCTTGATCACAGGCTTCTGTATCTTTGCCCTTCCTATAGCTGGGAAGCAAAAAAATAAAATAAAAATAAAAAAGAAACTTACTCCTCCAGGAAGGCCACACAGGCTCTGTGCCCATAGATCTGTGCGATCCTCTTAGGTGTGTCTCCAAAGAAATCGGGGGCRTCGATGGCGGCATGCAGGGCATGCAGGGCTCTAAGTACGTTCARGTGGCCGCACTCAGCTGCAAAGTGAGCGGGGGTCCAGCCCACATAAGTTACCAGGCAGGGCCTGGCTCCACAGCCTATCAGGAGATGCATCACTTCCACTTGCCCTTAGAGGGACCAAGAAGAAACAGGAGGAGGTTAAGAGGAAAATGTCCCCCACGGCCTGAGACTAGGGCCAGCCTCGACAACATGACAGGGGTAGGAAATGCGCCTCTGGGGTGCCTCTGGCTTCCTATCCCTTCTCCTTCTTCTTACTGGGGAATCAGCACCCTGTCCTCACTCCCACAGGGTACTGCTCTTACAGTACATCCTGTACTCCTTCCAGGACACCCCTCTCCTGTCCACTGTCCCAGGTGGACAGGTCCTGCTCACGAGAGTACTGGCCAGGCTCCTCTTTCAATGCTCATTTCAAAAACAAATATTTTAAAGCCCACTTATATTTAGCTAACAGCTTGCAAATAGACTTTCTCACCAGATAGATGTGGGTTCATATCCTCACAATGTCACTTACTAAGGTGTATCACCTTGGATAAGAAACAAATGTCTGAGGTTTCATTTCTTCRTCTATCAGTTAGAATATTATCACTTACCTCACTGAAGTTTGAGAAATACAAGTGAAGCTACAGAGATAAAGTACACAGCCCAGTGGCSAGCAGGTGGCAAGTGCTCTCTGAAGGTGGTTTTGGAGATGGCAGAAGACTAATATTAATTAAGAGCAGATTATATGCTAGGTGTTGTATACCCACTGTCTTACTGAACGCCTATCACTCYACTGTAACATTACTACCCCCATTATATAGAAGCATAAACTGAGGCCCAGAGACACTAAATAACAAACTAAATTTGCTAATGCTGGTAAGGGGTGATGATTGAAATGCTCCATCTATTTCCAGAAAAAATATTTTTTTCTACTCTGTACACAGCCTGTAGACTGAATGGTGGGCTCACAGGGGTGGATCTACKAAGGCATCGCCCACCCACCTTTGATTGCAGCCCAGTGAAGGGGGGTCCGGTCGTTCCAGTCGACATCCTTGTAGTTTGGRTCACAAAGACCTTTCTTCAAAATCCTCTTCACTAAATTGTAGTCCCCCAGAGCCACAGCTTGGTGGAGCTTTGTCAGGTTGGATATTTTGGTGAATTCCATGACAGAAACTGTGGGAGAGACRCATCATTTAGGAAATTTGATTACAGCCCTTAATTCCTAACAAGTGCTCCACAGAGTTTTGYGTTGTGGATTTTCTTTCCTGCCTCATGCATTTGCTGCTAGGCTTGCCTGGCGTGTGGTCTCAGCTGAGTGTGGCCTTGGATCTTAGCTACTATGGTTACTGCATGCCAGTCCCCTACCCCCAAAACTACTGATGGCTCCCACTGCACACTGAATTATGTYTACACTCATGGACTGGCTTCAAACCACCTTCTAGCACTATTTCCCACTCCCACTTCAAAATTCTAGTAGTGTTCCTTAAGTTTGTCGTATAATTCTGTGTCTTTCTCATCTGTAGAATGGGTATAAACATCTAGGATTATGAGACAATGAGAATCCATGTGAAAGGTGTACACTGAGCCCAGAGCTCTATGGAAATTAAATACTGTTGCACAGCAGGTGGGGAGGGGAAAACACACAAACAGACAAATAACATAGCTAAAAACTGATATTAATATTATGCCTTAAAACAGTAGTTCTCATGTTGTAGTCTAAGACTCTTTGGAATCCCTTAGACTTTTTCAGGGAAACTATGAAATGAAAAACTGTTTCATTATAATATTAAGATGTTCTTGGCCTTGTTCCCCTTGATGACAATTTTTCTGATGGTTCCAAAGAGAAGGTAGAGAAAACTGCTGGGACCCTCATACAAAGTTAGGCTATGACAGCAAACTGGACTATAATCAAGCTATTCGCCACACCCTCACAGGAAAAAAAAAAAAGACCAGTTTCATAGGAACATTCTTAAGGAATCAATAAAAATTATGTTTATTAGATCTTTACTGTTAATCATGTAATTCAATAAATGCAGTTTTAAGATATTGTGTAATAAACTATGTCAACATTTGGAAAMTGTCCTTCACCCCCTGGACCAATATTTTTCATACAACAAGTGGAGGATGTTGCAAAATCAGACACGAGTAAAGAGATCCATTCAAGATAGAAAAGACTTTAATAAATCAGAGTAAGGAAACTGCCTGGATATCACTTCAATTCTACATCGAAACTAAAATGTAGGGCACTACTATCTGTCTAGTTTGGGTGTAGTATCAAAGGAGAAAATCCACAATTATCTGGAAATCTATAAAATACTTCTTCTTTCTAACTTTATACCTGTTGGAAGCCAGATTTCTTTATACGCTTCCATCAGAACAAAGTGAATGTAGAAACTGACCCAAGAATCTAGCTGTCTTCTATTAAGCCGGTGATTTTAAAAGGTTAAAAATAAAAAGTAAACCAAGCTCACTCTTTTTACATTTTTTGTTATTCTGGAAAATATAATTTCTTCATGAAAATATTACTTATGTTATTATGTAATAGATTTATTGCAGGTTTTGTAAATGAATTAACATTTTAAGATATTCTTAGTTTTAACTTTTAAAAGCATACATATTGATAGATGTAATCCACATACATGAATGCTTTCTGGGGTTCCCAAACATTTTTAAGAGTGTCAAGAAGTTCTGAGATTAAAAAAATAATAAGTTTGAGAACTGGTGATATAAAAAAAATACAACAAGAATGCAGAGAGGGCCACAAGAGTTGTGGCCATTGAAGATACCTCTGATCTCAAGGTTTGAGATGGGTCTGGAGTTCACCCTACAAATTGTGACTAGTAGCAGCACCACCACCAAAGATTTAGAAGAAGTGCAAATTCTTGGACTCAACCTCAGACCTACTGAAGCTCTAGAGTGGAGCSCAGCCAAGTCGTGGTAAGCCCTCCAGGTAAGTCTGATGCACATTGGAAAGTGAGAATAGCCCTAAAGCCTGAGAGACAGAGAAGTAGCATAATAAAAATGCAATGCCCCAAGCATCCAACAGACAGAAAAAAAGAGCCATTCACTAAGACTGGGAAGTAAAAGGATTTTTCTCTAAAAGAGACCTAAGCTGCATCCCAGAAAGATAAATAGGAGTCAAGTTGGCCGACTGACTGTGGAGGATCCCAAATCTAGGCACAGTACATTGGTGGCCAGGATTGCTTACACTGAAGTGTAAGTAGTTCCAACAACAATGTCCCTGTCTTGAGGGTCAGCAACCTTTTTCTGTAAAAATCCAGACAGCAATATTTTTATACCAAGAGACAAAATCAAGACTACTAGTGGGAACTCAAAAGCAACTTAAATAACAAGAGTAAAAATCCATGTCCTACCCTTTCCTATTTGCCTGCAATAGTTGTTCCATCGTCTTTGTTCCCAGTAACCCTCAGCTGGAGACATTCACAGGGCAGAGAGGATGGGCCTCAGCAGAAAGGCATTGTCAGTGGGATGCTCAGTTTCATTCTCTGCCTTATTGCTACTCAGATTCCAGTGAGCCCTCTCTCCTCCTGGAGAGGTTGGCAATCCCACGTTGGCAGCTGGCCGGAGAAAAAGCAGCTCAGAGTCACCAACTCTCTTATTAAGATTCCACTGTGGTCCCAGCAGCTGCCAACAGCAAATTCCCCCATGCTGGAACAACTTGCACTTTGGAGTATGTGCCTTTGGCCCCCGATGTGCTGTGCCTGTGTTTGAAATCCTTTACCAACATCACCAGTGGGCCCTGAGCAGTGAATAGGCACAGCTACAAGTGGCAGAGGCAAGTGCTAGGAGCAAAACAGGCAGCAGGGATAAAGGGAGAAACAWGCACTTGCTCTTGGGGCCTCACAGCACTCGTCCATGGAGGCCTGACACCTTAGGTGGTAGCCACAGGCCTACAAAATAGATTTGAGCCAGATTCAACTTTTAGACCTGAGTTTAGCAGCCTCTAGTCTATACAAATTATTTAGTAATCTTGTTTAATTGCAGATTCTGACACAGTGTATCTGGGATGGGGTCTGAGAGTCTGCATTCATAACAAGTCCCCATAGCAGTTCTAGTTCATCTTTGAGTAGCTGTATCTCTCTGGCTGAAAAGTAGGGGATAGATTGGCAGGTAACACTATTGGAGACCTGAGGGGGAAGCAAGGAGGCAGCAGTTGGTCTCCACTGAGAGGCTCCATAGAATTGTCAGTAGATTCTTAAAAACAAAGATGCCTCTACCTCAGCCCAAAGTGAATCAGAATCTCTAAGTGTGCAAAGCAAGGGTTAGGTGTGTTATAGGATGTAGGTGCTCTACACATGCCTTGCTGGGTAACAGAGAAAATGGCACAAACTGCATTTTAGTTTTTAAATTTGCTTTACTAGAAAACACTGGATTTGATTAATAGTAAAAATGGTAAACAAAAACACTAGTGTTTCTAACCTGCAAGTGTCACTAAAAGCAAAATCATTTCCCAATCAGTGTCTAGGAGCCTTCTCACTTGCCTTCCATACAAGCTTTTGAGCAATTTTACACTAAACCTACCCTGTTTGTTCCACATTTAAGTTGATACTGAAGTGATTGCACAACTTCCTATGGATGTGTTGTAATTCAAGTAAAAGTTTTCATTGTGCAGCAAAATGTTTTTTCCAGAGAAATTGAAAAACTGATCYTAGAACATTCTACAGAAATGCAAGGAACCCTGAATAATCAAAATAATCTTGAGAAAGAATGCAGTTGGAAGACTCATACTGCTTGACTTCAGTTAACACTCCAGGGCCAACCAATGGGTAAAGAAATATCTTTTTTTTTTCCTTTTTTTTTTTTGTTATTGGTTGTTCAAAACATTACAAAGCTCTTGACATATCATATTTCATACATTTGATTCAAGTGGGTTATGCTGAGACAATGAGATATCCACATGCAAAGAAATAAAGTTGCTCCTTCACCTCCCAAATATTTATTATTCTAAATTTCCTTTGAAAGTTTTGCAATTTGAGCCTTACATTTAGGCCCAAGACCCATTTTGAGTTTATATAGGGTATACTTGTCAAAAAATAAGCATATATGTCAGAATTTATTTCTAGACTCTCAGTTCTACTCTAGTGCTGTAGATATCTATTCTTGTGCTAGTACACCATAATCTTGGTTATTTTAGCTCTATAGTTAAGTTTTGAAATTAGAAAGTATAAATTTTCCGGGGCTGGGATTGTGGCTCAATGGTTGAGCACTCACCTAGCATGTGTGAGGTACTAGGTTCAATCCTCAGCCCCACATAAGTAAGTGAATAAAAAAATAAAGGCCCATCAACATCTAAAAAAAAATTTAAGAAAAGAAAGTATAAATTGGGGTATATACCCACAAGAATGAAAACATTCAAATAAAAATTTATACATAAATGTTCATAGAATCATTATTCATGGCAGATGAAAAATGGAAACATCCCAAAAACCCATCAACAGATGAATGGATACATAAAATGTGGAATATCCACATAATGAAATATTATTTTATAATGAAAAGGAAGGAAGTACTGAGACGTGATTCATGGATGAATCTTGAAACATGCCAAGTGAACAAAGCCAGTCATAGAAGATTGGATACTTCCATTTAAGTGAAATGCCCAGAATAGGCAAATCTACAGAGACAAAATGTAGATTATTAGTTGCCTAGGGCTGGGACCTGGGTCGGTGGAGGAAAGACTGCTGGTAAGCACAGGACTTCTTTTTGGAGTGATGAAATACTTTAAAATTAGATTGTGGTGGGTAATGGTTTCACAACTCTAAAATAGTTTTAAACCACTGAATAGTACATTTTAAATGGATTCAAATTTTAGGTATGTGAATTATAGCTAAATGAAGCTATTTGTTAAAAACAAACAACTATTAGAAGTTTTTAAAAGAACAAAAATACAAACCTTACTTGCAAATTTACGTATGTGATTCACTAGCCTATCATTGGTCATTGAAATCTGGCAAACTCTCCGTGACATGAATCCTTGTGAATTTGGTTAAGTGCACTTGAATTCCTATCTTTCTGGTAGATGTGTCTCAATTTGCAAAGTAGTCCAAGTAATACAGAGGCTAATAAGTGAGTGATCTGTATTACTATAGTAAATAAGAGAGGGGTAATGTAAAAATACTTACCGGCTTGTATGAAACCCAGGGA